TTTTCTCGGACTGATAGTTTTTAGTATATTTGCTCTCAAATCAGATGAAATAATATTTTTGTCAAAAAATGCTATTGGGAATGAAAGAAAGAAAAATTAGTCGTTTGTATTCATTCATCCAAAAACAGAAAAAAAAAATTCGTTTTTTTTTTTTAAACCATCATTCTCTTTCTCAGTTAAGTTTAGCATTTCAATTGGTTGAAACAGCTGTCAATAAGCTTGCGACGAATGGGACAAATTTTTCCGCCTTTTTCATTTTTAGGCCTTGAACATTTCAACCAAAAATTTCATTTTTACGAATGGAATATTATCATGCAACATTTAAAAATTCTGTGAAAGATTTCATTTTTCTTTTAAACTTTTAGCAAATTTATCTTCGTTATGCAATAATTTTTTTCCTTCCTTTTTGTTTAAATATACAACATTTTGTTGATATTTTTAACACTATAACTTTATTTTTTTTTTACTTAGTTGTTATTTTTTAGTTCTTTAATCGAATATGCGTTTGTTTCCGTTTTTCTTTTCATTTGAATTAAAAAATTTTTTACACAGTATTTTTGTTAGCATATTTCTTTTTTTGAATTCAATATTTTAGAATTTTGAGCTTTTATTAGCTTTTTTTTGGAATTTGAAATTTTTGATGTCATGCTTTTATTAGCTTTTTTTGAACTCAAATTTTTTAATATAATGCTTTTATCAGCTTTTGTTTGAGCTTAAATTTTCAAAATGATGTTTTTCGTTTTTTTTAATTTTTCTTTACTATTTTTTAAGAAGAAAAAAGTTTTGCTTTCTTTTCAGACGATCATTTTTTTTTTCTTTAAGAATTGTAAAATTATTATTTCTTCGATTTGCATGAGGAAGACCAAATATTGAAGTTGCTTCAAACATTGAATAAATAAAATGGCTGAGTGTTCAATCAATGTCTGATAAATGAATGAATGAAATATTATTTAAAAGTTTCGTTCCTGTCATTATCATTAAACTTGTTTAACATTCCTTTATAAAAATAATGATAAAATACATGGAGAAGCTATAAAGCCGGTAACAAAAGCAAAATTTTTCTTCTGCATTTTTCCATCTATGATTTAATTTAGTTTAAAATTAAATTTCTTATTACTTTTTATTAGACCATTTTCAGCGTATATTGAAATTGAATGTTACTAATTATCAAAATGACGGGAGAATTATAATACAGTAGTAATACTTTTAACGATCACATTTTCATTATTGTTGTATGATTGGAACAAAATTATTGAATGTTTATTTAAGCAAATCGTATAGAATATAAAATGAGCTCAAATTCAGTGCATAATATTCGGTATTTACATATTGTCATCAAAGATCATTAAAGTTTTAATAAATATACATCACAGCTGAATATCATTCTATCATATATCAGTACAAAAATTTTTTTTATAAATTTAAAATTTTTTAAATTATTTAATAATTATATCAATATGGCGCATGACAATTATCCTTCCGAATGTTTTCTTTAAAAATTGATGTATTGGAGATGAACTGATAAGCAATATGCATATGCTTTAAAAATGTTAAATGTATGAGGTAATTGATTGTTTGAATGAAAAAATTGATTAAAATGAAACTTAATTACTTTTTAAATAAGATAATTGTTGTAAGAGTAAGTGTGAATTTAATACTTTTGAAGTTGTCGAAAATCAAATTTTCAAGATTAATATGTTCAATGTTGTTTTTTTTTAATATTCAACAAAGTAACTGTCAAAATATTCAGCAAAATTAACAGCAGTTTATATTATGCAACGAAAATTCTTATTTTAACAGTTTTAAAATTTAATTAATGTAAAATTAAATGAATAAGAAAGAAATGAAATTGATATATGCCGCAATTTTTTATTGATATTTTTTGAGAAATCCTATTTGTTTATTGCGATCGATAATTATCGATGCTATTGCAGCCTGAAGTAATGAATTTTGCCTCAAACAACAAATTTTATTTATCAATCAACGAATTAAATCAGAAGGGAAAATTCTCATTTTGAGTTTTTTTTTAATTTCGTATTTCTATGTACTCTTTTTGAAAAAAAAAAAAGAGCAGTGCCGTGCTTTCATTTAATCATTATTTCATTTTGTTTTTTTTTTTTTTTTTGTATTCATTTCTAAAAAGATTTTTTCATTTTACTTCAAAATAAAAATTATCAATCGATTGATAGCATAATTTAACGTATTGAATTTAATTAGGCATGTAAATTTAGATTATCGAAACTAAAAATAATACTTTTCCCAAATGTTAAATTGTGAATTTTCTTCATCTTTTTTTTATTGGAAAAATGACTAATTAAAAAAAAAATACTTTTAATCATCGATTCAAATGTATATACTAAAAAAAAGAGAGAACAATATTAACTGTCATTTTTTTTTAAATAAATTTTTATTTTGCTGCTATTTCACTGAATGCTTCATAAATCTGCTGCTTACGAAACAAAAATAATGCAAAAATTTTATATGTATGATATTTTTATGCTTCAATGATTGCTTATTGCAATATTCTTTTATATTTCATGCATTTTACATTTACTTAAACGTGAATGTGTACGTGTATTTATGCGAGTGTATGCATGCGTATGTACGTGTGTACGTGTGTATGTGTATGTGTATGTATGTATGTATATGTGTGTGTATTTTCATGTGCCTTTGTGATTCCTTTTTTTGTTCATAATTAAAATGGACTGTTTTGAGCAAAATTTCAAGCAACCATTAATTAACATTCACAGAATAATTTTATTGCTATTTATTGCCATTCATTAGTTTTGCCATTTTTAAATAATTCCTATTATTTGATAAAATAGTTGGAAGTAAAAAAAAAATGTTAACTATAAGTAATTGCTCACATAAATCATATTTATCATAAAATGAGTCAAAGTTCAGAGTTCAAATGAAACGAAAATGTTTATTTAGTTTGAACAAAAATAAATTTTGACAAATTCTTGTTATTATGATCAATCAACGAGAAATTCTCGGCATTCACAATTGCTCTCAAGTTACATTTATCAATATTATTATTATTATCATCGTTGTCCATAAGTATTATCCGTAATAACAATTTAACGCTAAAAATGATTACTGTAATACCTATAAGATGTAAATTGCCAATTCATCCATTCAATTAAAAATTTTTCTTTTTACTCTGCTTTTTTCTTATTGCTTCCATTGTTATTCTTTGCTTTTTTTTTTCAATTTTCGTCTTCACAAACTTTTGATGCACCGTTGGAAAGTTCAATTTGCACTCATTTCAAATGAAATTGCCAATTTTATGCTAACTTATATTATGCAATTGTTCTCTCTTTTGCAAAAGCCAATTTTTGTGTATGTCAAAAGAAAGAAATTTAAAAACATGAATTGTAAGGAATCGATCGACATGTTTTGATGAGTCAAATTTCATTCTACCGAAGAGTTAAAGAAAAATAAAATTTTTTTTTTTTGCTTTGACTTTAAATTCTTTGCAATATTTTCAAATTTTGAACGTTTATTTGAAATTTATACATTGCTATTTGAAATTGTGCATTTAACCAAATTAATCAAATTCCATATAAAATCATCTAACAATTGCCCTTTAAATGAACTTAATGCCGAAATTAAGAAAAAAAAATGCTAATTTTTAACAGAAATATTGTTTGCACTCGTATTAATTTTATCATTTTGCACTTGATTTTTTAATTTCATTGTTTTTGCAACAAAAAAAAATGATGGAATTTTGCAACGGATTGATATTTGTTGTAATTAATGTGATTGTTAATTTTATTTCTTTTTTTTTTCGTTTTTACATTTTTTTTTTATTATTTATCAAAAAATATTTCACACCATTCATTATTCGGCACTGTTACACCCTTTTTGTTTTTGTTTTCTTTTTTTTCCTCATAATGAATTTTTATCAAACATTGACATAATAATTAGGCTTTACCTAATTGATCTACCAAAAGCCAATTATGCAAATCAATTCGCTCATATCTTTTCGTTTCTTTTTCTGGCTTCCATACTTGTCGGAAATATATCCGAAAATATTATTATAACATTTAAAAAATGGAAAAAGAATAAAATTGGAAATGAAAAAAAAGGAAAGGGAAAAAAAAACTCGTCCGTGTATTTGATTTATTCTCAATTTTTAATCATAATCATTGATAATACTGCCACAAACACCCTTTCAATTGATATTAATATTTCAAATCTGACAACTCCTTATAAGAAAATAAAAATTAAAATCATATCAATGCATTTCTTATCAAATTAAAATGATGTCAGTGCGTTTCTTATCAGATAAATTATAGATTATGGAAATTGATTTAAAAAAAAAAAAACAGAAAAACAGAAAAAAATAGGACAACTTTAGGATTCAGCAGAAGTGATATATGTATAGCACAATTTAATAAATTACTATATTATTATCATTTTATTATATTTTAGTAATTTTGAAGTAATTTAAACCATAAAATATATTATTAATCTCTTTTGTTTGTTACAATTCAAATTACATACAGTATCTTGGAAAATTCGATGTTTTCGTGTATTTTTGTTGTAATTTATATGGAAATTTAATTTCATTTAAATTTGTTTCAGCGATTATTTTTCATGAATCATTGTGATTCAAATTAATAAATGATGTATTGCGATAAACTAATATAATTTGCCGTTTTCCAACAATTTTATATTTCCCATTCAACGAAATATTCGGTAGAAGGAAGAAAAGTAGCAGCAAAGATGGCAGTGCCAATATCTGCTACAATTATGGAAGTATCAACAATGGAACAACAACAACAACAACAACAACAACAACAACAACAA